GAATGACAAGGAAAGAAATTTAAAGCCAGCCAGGGTAAAAAAGACAGCAACCTACAAGGGAACCACCGTTAGGCTATCAGCAGGCTTCTCAGCAGACACTTTACAGTCCAGGAGGGAGCAGAATGACATTCTTGAAACACTGAAAGATAAAAACTGCCATCCAAGAATACTCTATCCAGCCAGGTTATAAGTCAGATATGAAGGAGAAATTAAAGGCTTTCTCAGGCAAACAACAGCTGAGGAAGCTCATCACCACTAGACCTGTCCTACAAGAAAGGTTGAAAGGAGCCTTTTGACCAGAAACAAAAAGGCAAAGTACCCAAAAGTTTGAGTAAGGTGATAAACAGAATGAGAAAATTGTAACTCTTTCCCAGAATAGGTTTTAAAACATTTTATTATAGCATAAAGGTTAAAGGAGGGGGGAAAGCAGAAGAAATAATGATAACACTTCAGTTTTGTAACTCACAACATAAAGATGGATAATTTGAGAAAACAGAAACATAAAAGGGGAAGAAAAAGATGGAACCCATGCAGTGATGTTACCAGCATGTGTGTGCTCAGTCGTGTCTGACTTTGCAAGCTTGTAGACTGTAGCCTGCCAGGCTCCTCTGTCCATGGGATTCTCCAGGCAAGAATCCTGGAGGGGTTGCCATTCTCTTCTCCAGGGGATCTTCCTGACTCAGGGATTGAACCTGTACCTCATGCATTGTGGGTGGATTCTTTACCACTGAGCCACCTAGGAAGCCCCACCAGGAAAAGAAGGACTATTTTATCTATGAGAAGTTTTACGCAAACACCATGGCAACAACAAAATGTAAATCTGGAAGAGAAACACAAAAAATAAAAAAAGAGGACACTGAGAAAAACATCAGAGAAAATCAATTCAAAATAGCAGACAGAAACACAAGGAAAAAAACAGTGGAGAGACTGAGCAACCAGGAAACAAAATTATAGTATTAAGTCTTCATCTGTCAATAGTAACCGTAAATGTAAATGAGTTGAATTCACGAATGAAAAAGCATGGAGTGGTTGGATGGATTAAAAAATAGGACTCAACTACATGCTGCCTCCAAGCAACCCACATCAGCTCTACAAACACAGGTTCAAAGTGAAGGAACAGAAGATGCTACTATTAGCAAACGATGGCCAAAAAGGGTATGTAGCCATACTCATATCAAGCAGAACAGACTTGAAGACAAAAACGAATAGTATATAATTATGAGGGGGAAAATTTATCAAGAAGATATAACAGTTATTAATGTATATACACCTAACATAGGAGCACTAACATATAAAAAAGAGATATTAACAGACAAAGGGAGAAGTGGGGGCTTCCCCAGTGGCCCAGTGGTAAAGAATCCACCTACCAATGCAGGAAACATGGGTTATATTCCTGGGTCCACAAGATGTCCTGGAGGAGGACATGGCAACCCATTCCAGTTCTTGCCAGGAAACATTACATGGACTTGCAGGCTGCAGTCCATGGGGTCTCAAAGAGCAGAACATAACTGAGTGACTGAGCACACACACCCACAAAGGCAGAAATTACCTCACACCGTAAGGGAAGTCCTAGCCAGAGTAATGAGGCAAGAAAAAAAAACTAAAGGCATACAAATTGGAAAGAAAGAAGTAAAACTGTCACTATTTGCAGATGATATGACTTTATACACACAAAATCCTAAAGACTCCACCAAAAAACTGAAAGAAATAATAAACAAACACATAAAGTTGCAGGGTACAAAATCAACCCACAAAAATCTGCTGCATTTCTGTATGTTAACAATGAGCTACCAGAAAGAGACATGAAGAAGTAAATCCCATTTACAATTACAACACAAAATATAAAATAACTAGGAATAAATTTAACCAAAGAGGTGAAAGATATGCACGGTGAAAAGGACAAAGTGCTGTTGAAAGAAACTGAAGAAGGCACAAATAAATGGAAAGATATTCCATGCTACTGGATTGAAAGGATGAACTTGTTAAAATGTCCATATTACCTAAAATAATCTAAAGATTCAATGAAATCTCTATCAAAATCTCAAGGACATTTTTCACAAAAATAGAGCAAAAATTCTAAAATGTATATGAAACCAAAGAAGACTGAACAGCCAAAGCAATCCTGAGGGAGAAAAAAAATAAAGTTGGAGGTATCACAACTCCTGATTTCAAACTATGTTACAAAGCTACAGTAATCAAAACAGCATAGTACTGGCACAAAAACATAGATCAATGGGCCAGAATTGAGAACCCAGAAATAAATGCATGCACATATGGGCAATTAATTTACAACACAGCAGCAAAGAACATACAATGGGTAAAGGATAGTCTCTTCAATAAATGACGTTGGGAGAGCTGAACAGACATATGCAAATAAAATGAAACTAGGCCACTCCCTCACATCATACTCCAAAATCAACTCAAAATGGACTGAAGACTTAAATGTAAAACCTGAAACTATAAAAGTCCTAGTGGAAAACATAGGCAGTTCATTCTTGGTCATGGGTCTTAGCAATATCTCCCCAGGTTTGTCTCTTCAGGCAAAAGAATCAAAAACAAAAACAAACAACTGGGACTACAGCAAACTAAAAAAGATTCTGCACAGCAGAGAAAACTATCAACAAAGTTAAAAAACCTACTGAATAGGAGAAGATATTTGCAAGCAATTATATCTATTAGGAAGTAATATCCAGAACATATAAAGGACTGATACAACTCAACAACAACAAAACAACCCAACTAAAACATGGGTGGAACTGAATAGGCATTTTTCAAAGAAGATATACAGATGGCTAACAGGTATGTGAAAACAATAGCATGAATTATTAGGGAAACACAAAACCACAGTGAGATATCACCTTGCACCTGTTAGAATGACTATTATCTAGTGAGTGTTGGTGGGAATGTTGGTTGGATAGCATCATCAACTCAATGGACGTGAGTTTGAGCAAACTCCGGGAGACAGTGAAGGACAAGGAAAACTGGTGTGCTGAAGTCCACGGGGTCGCAAAGAGTCAGACATGACCGAGAAACTAAACAACAACAATGGCCATTATGGAAAACAGTCTGGAGATTCCTCAAAAAAATGAGACTAGAACCACCATATGATCCAGTTATCCCACTCTGGGGTATTTACTAAATAATATGAAACCATTAATTTGAAAAGATACATGCACTCCCATGCTTACTGCATCATTACTCACAACTGCCAAGTTATGGAAGCAACCTAAATGCCCATGAACAGATGAACGGATAATGGATGCCCATCAATGGATGAATGGATAATGGAATACTACTCAGCCATAAAGAGATGAAATCTTTCCATTTGCAACAACATAGATGGATCTTGAAGGTATTATATAAGTGAAATAAGTCAGACAGAGAAGGAAAATACCGTATGATTTCACTCACCTGTGGAATATAGAAAACAAATGAAAACACAAAACACATGAATAAAATCAAACAAAAACTAACTCATAGATACAGAGAACAGAATAGTGGTTACTAGAGAGGAAGCTGCTGGGGGAAGATGAAATGGATAAAGCAGATCAACTGTATGGTGATGGATGGAAATTAAATTTTTGGTGGTGAGCATGCTGTAGATACTCACATAGATACTCTACTTCTCTGTATATATGTATATAAATATACATGTATAAATAATATATATATAAATAATGATATATATACACATACATATATTAAATATATATATACTTTACTTCTGTATATATACAGAGGTAGAAATATAATGTGGTACACATGAAACTTACAAAATGTTATAAACTAAAGTTAACTCAATAAGTAAAAAAATAAAATAAAAATACTTAGATCTTGGTCCTTAAAGGTTAACAAATAGATAAATAGACAAAAAGAACAGAACTGAACCCAGTTTAGCCAACAGTCATATCACCTGAAATGGATTCTCTCTCAATATGTCACTTCCTTCCCTTCACTACACTACTCAAGACCCCAATCCACACATCAGTCATACTGAGATACTGACACGTCACCAAATGTATATAACTTGCTCATTTCCTATCTTGACAACTTCCCTGTCTTTCCTCTGCCTGAAAAGCCTTTCTTCTCTTAATCTACTTGAAAAGCTTCAAGAATTAATTCAATCTCTCTTCCTCTGGGAAGCATTTCTATGATCTGCTCAGAGGTAATTACCTTTTCTTTTGTGCTCAGCGAGCCCCAGTCTTAGCATGGTACTCATCAAATTTTCATAGTCACTTCCATTTCTGTGTTTGTCTTCCCACTAGGTCAGACTGCCTCACAGCTCAAACTATGTTCTGTCTTTTTTCTTAAATACCAAGCATAGTGTTCAGGGCATGGCAGTTGTTTAACTGTGACTTGGTTGAGTTCAGTTCAGTTCAGTCGCTCAGTCATATCAGACTCTTTGCGACACCATGGACTTCAGCACACCAGGCTTCCCTGTCCATCACCAACTCCCGGAGCTTACTCAAGTGATAGTGATGCTATCCCACCATCTCATCCTCTGTCGTCCCCTTCTCCCCCCGCCTTCAATCTTTCCCAGCATCAGGGTCTTTCCCAATGAGTCAGTTCTTCACATTAGGTGACCAAAGTATTGAAGTTTCAGCTTCAACATCAGTCCTTCCAATGAATATTCAGGACTGATTTCCTTTACAATTGACTGGTTGGATCTCCTTGCAGTCCAAGGGACTCTCAAGAGTCTTCTCCAACACCACAGTTCAAAAGCATCAAATCTTTGGTGTTCAGCTTTCTTTATAGTCCAACTCTCACATCCAAACATGACTACTGGAAAAACCATAGCTTTGTTGGCAAAATAATGTTTCTGCTTTTTAATATGCGTAGATTGGTCATAACTTTTCTTCCAAAGATTATGGCTACTGAGTGACCAATGAAAAGTGGGATGAATTAATGAACGAAATATACTCAGTGTTTGCTCTCATGCTGCTGCAGATACAGAACATTCATGATATCCGTGGAAACATAATGTGATTCAGAATACTTACTGTTCTAAGGCTTGAAGCATGCTCCCAGGGTCCTCAGAAGACAGAATGTCTATCATTTGGTCATTGAGAGCGAGATCCTCATTCACACCATCAGCTGAGGTGAGCTGGGAGTGCTCCAGCTTGTTTCCGTGATGCTGAACCTTCAGGAGAATTTCAGGAACAACAATTGAGTGGGCCTTCCTATGAATGTCACATGCTAGAAAAGTCATGAGGGAACGTGGTGATCTGTAACCAGAGAACCTAGCTGGCCTCACCACTGGTGAGCAGACAAGACTCAGGCACAACATTGCACTTTCCTGGGCCTCATTTTCTCATGAAAGAAATGGGATCATACTTCCAGTAGCCCTGCACAGAGTTGTTGTGTGGATAAAACAAAGGAAGGGATAGAAAGAGCTTTATAATTATAAAGATCTAATACAAATATTTCACCATCACCATCACCATCATTGTCCCCCCATCCCCTTCATCACCACCAACACCATCATATATCACCATCAACATCATCATCATCGTGATGCAGAAGAATATTAACAGATGGCATATGGACTTCAACAACATGGATCTGGTTGGTTTCTAATCAGAATATAGAGTTGTCAGATGGACGTGACATCAGAGATAATTAAGCTCACTCCTTCAATTGGATAGATGATGTATCTGTGCTGCTCTCTAACATTACTAATGCCACAAAAATGCATACTAATTATACTAACATTTAAGAATTTCTGTCCCTGTGCCTTGTATGAGTTATATCATGAAAATGTCACACCAAATGTGCTGATGTCCCCACTTTACATATATGGAAAATGCAGCTCAGAGAGATGAAAATGACATTATCAGAGTGCACACAGCTCATAAAGAGCCTGCATGGTATTTGACCCGAGGTCTACCTAACTCTAAAGGCTGCCTTCTGTTTTATAACACATTTTCTCCTTGGTCACCACCACAAAGAAAAAAAAAAATTTTTTTTAATGTGGAAAGAGTTCATATTGTGATGTTGGAAGAAAAAATACTACAAGAGTCTTCAGATCTTAAATCAGATTCACACTTTGCTTTCCTCCCTTGGTTATAACAATCAGCCTTGAATCTCCGAGAAATGAATTCTGCTCCTTCATCGAATGAGCAGGGTGAGTCTTGCTCATCTGTGACTGATAACAGCTTTGGGAGAGTAAGTAGAATGTCTCATTAGATGGGCCATTTTTCTTCTCTTCACTTCTGCCTGTCAAAGGGATTGTGGGTTGACCTCACTTTGAAATGACAAGTCTCTCCTCCAGGAAGCAGAAACAAACTGAACAATGGGACAGGACTTCCAGCCTCCAGAGGTGGGGGTGTCCCTGGAAGCCAGGTCTCAGCCTGGCCACCTGAAGCCTATTCAGCTTCACTGGACTCAGTTTCCTCACTACGTGGTGAAGGAAAAAGATCACAAATGTTTCTTTCAAGTTGTTGGACCTCTGGGTGACAGTCATCCAGCCCCCAGGGTCCTGCAGAAATCAACCACCCCTCAGGGTGCTCACTCCCAGGAGCGACTTCTCATCCCAGGACAGCACCCTGTTTTCCTGCCTCTGTCTGTCCGTCCTCTGATTGGCTGCAGGGTGATGGTGGAGATTCGTCCCTTCACATGTTCACTAAGTGCCTTCTAAGTGTCAGCCTCCATACCAGGCAAGGGGATTACAGCAGGCAGCATCCACGACCCCTGCCCTTGCTCTTCAGAGCCTTTGAGCCCAAGATCTACCAGCCAACACCTACACTTCTTTCCCTGAAGGCTCCTTCTGGCCTTCAGAGTCCATGTCAGGGAAACAAGGCCTTTGTCCTGGCCCCCTCCCCACCATTGTCCTCAATCAGAAGCATTTCATAACTCAATACCCATTCTCTTTCTCCCTTCAGGCAGGATGACGCTGACGCTGGCTCTACACCGTCCCGAGTTCCCAGGTGGGATGAAGAAGCACCTGGTACCCACAGTGGTAGCTTGACTGGCTGCCATCCTTCCCACCTCACTCCCCCACCTCCTACCTTTACTTCCTGGGATCATTTCCCATACAAACTATTTGCATTTGGATCCTGGTCTCAGGGTGTGCTTCTGTGGGAACGCAGACCAAGACAGGAAAACAGAGACTGAGGAGTTCACAGATGGGGATAAATGGTGGGGAGGAGGGTGGTCCAGAAGCCAGGGCAGGAACCCAGAGAGGGGGCCCCTGACTCAACCAGGAGGTGGCCAAGTGATGACTTCCACGGAGAGGCAAGGCCAGAGATGAGTCTTCCAGGACGTGTCAGAGTTCTGCTCGTTGAAGAGCAGAGGGAGGATTACAGAAGCATCCTGGTGAGTGCGGAGAGCTCTGCAGCCATTGTCTAGAGCGGGATGTCGGGGTGTGAAGCTGGACCACAGGGGGCTCTCTTTATAAGCCACGCTAAGCCGTCTGGGCTTCATCCTGAGGATGAGGGTATACCAGGACCTGAATCAAGGTGTGGCATGAACGCACAGTGGGCCACACAGGCAGGCACTCAGTGATTCAGCCAGAACAAGGGGTTCCCAATCCTGTCCTGGCCATCCGTTAGAATCACCCAGGGAGCTTTTAAAAACAACTAATGATGGGGATGCCTCCCGGGAAAGCAGTCAGAGTCTGTGCAGGAAGGCCTAGCTTTGAGCATGCAACATGGCTCCAGCATGTATCCATGGATGTCATGGATGGTCCTGACATCCATCCGGAGTTGAAGGATAAACTTGAACCTCACATCTACCACCAACCAACTGCTGCCCTCCAGGAAGAAGATGCGTGTCGATTCCCACCTGATGTCTGGTAAGCATGCCTCCCTTCACACACTGGTATCGAACCATGAAGAAGAGCGCAGCCCAGGTCAGCACCAGGGAGAGGATGAAGGCCACACAGAACCCTGCCGCGTGGAGGCCGTGGTTCGGCAGAACCTGTGGGGATGAGAGAGAAACAGATCTATTCATGGTCACACTTCACATCTTTCAAGGCAAGTTACAACTGAGTTAGAGAAGAACAAGGACAGAGTCAGTGAGACCAGACTGGGTTTGGATGGAACTTTGCCACCTATTAGCTGATTGCCTTGGGACCACTGCTGAACCTCTTTGAGCCCAATTCAGATGGGTCCAAGCACTTCAAGGAGCTGAGCATAGAGGCTTGCACACGACAGGACCAACCACCCCAAGGCTGGCACATCACAGGTGCTCAGGAATGTTAAATTCCCCGATCAAATATGTAACAATCCTACGGCAGCAGGAAGGACTCAAGACACGCTTTCAGTCGGGCAGAATTTTGCAGAGGCCAGAGGAAGAATCCATAGTGCCCTCAACTTCCCTCAAGGCTGTCTACTCCCCGGCCCTGGGACCACTACCCATAAAGGGTGGAGCCCACTCTGGACGTCAGGGTCACTCGGGAGGATGTACATGGCAGGAGAGGCATCACACAACAGAAGGCAGCCCAGTAAATGACCATCCAGGGTGGGCTGCAGAGTTCCTGTGAGCCTCATTCAATGTGCCAAGCACACTCTCTCCTGGACGGTTTCCTCCGGGCTCCACTCTGTGACATCCTGGGACTAACTGGATCCACTGATGGGCCAGGAGTGGCCAGCACCAAGTAATAACTATGAGAAGCAGTAAGTTCTAGACACCTCCACATTCCACCCACCCTCCACCATCTCTTTGGGATCCAGAATGTGATACCAGACAGCAGCAGCTGCCATCTTCCTAAGCACTCAGCATGGGGCAGGCCTGGGGCCAAGGTCGTGCTCTCACGTCGGGGCTTATGTCAGAATCACCTGCAGGGTCTGCATTCCATCTTCAGGGACTCTGCATCACCAGACCTTGGGCAGGAACCGAAAAGAGGCATTTCTAGCAAGTTCCCAGGAGTTGCTGCTGTCCTTCTTGACCAGGGGCCACTCTCTGAGAATCCCCTGGGCTAAAGGTTTTACAAGAACTAACTCCTTGAATTCTCCCAAAGACACTTTGAGTAACTTGAGGACAGCTTTGGCTTTCAAATCCTACAGACCTGAACTGGAATGCCTCCTCTATCAAAAGAGCTGTGATAACAGTATTTTGGGGCCAGGGACTTGAACTCTGAGAACCTCAGTTCTCTTATCTGCAACATGGGGATAAAAACATCACTTCTCATAGCAGGGAGAGTAAAGCAAATAAAACCACAGAGGAGTTTCATGCAAACTTCGACTCTTTTATTTAATAGACAAATATGTATTGGGTGTCTACTGGGTACCAGGCTACATGCTAGAAGCTAATAAGATGGAGACGCCTCCTCCCTTGTGTGGTTATATTCTTCCTGTGGGCACTGACCAGGGCTGACCCAGACCACATGCTTCTCACAGACAAGGGCCTGGAGCAGCACAGTAGCTGAAGCTTGGGCTCTAGACTCAGACCATTGGGTGTGGGGCCCATCTCTGCTACCTCGTGGCCATGTGGCATTGGACAAATCACTTCATCACTTTCTCTCTCTCTCTCTTTGGTGTGGAGCATTTTCTTTTATTAATTTGTTACAATGTTGTTTCTGTTTTACATTTTGCCTTTTGGTTGGAGGCATGTGGGACCTCAGCTCCCCAACCAAGGATCAAACTTGCACCCTCTGCATTGGAAGGTAACATTTCAACCACTGGACAGCCAAGGAAGTTCCCACTTCATCTCTGTTTGCCTTTGCTCATCTCAGAGATGAGAGCCCTCCAAAGGTTGTGTTGAGGATTAAACAAGAAACATGAACAAAGGCCAACGAAGTCATCAGAAGAGGGCCTGACTGTGAAACTCACTCACGAAATGTGATTTTTGCCCTGCCTTCCCCTGTGGGCTGGGTGACCCGAGGCAACTCCACTGGTCCAGAAAGGGGGATGCTATGCAGCGGCCATTAACCACTCATTTCATCAGAAGGTTATCTCAAAAACCGGCCTGGGAACTTCCTGGTGGTCCAGTGGCTAAGACTCCACGCTCCCAATGCAGGGGGCTCGGGTTCGATCTCTGGTCAGGGGAACTCGACCCCATATGCTAGAACTAAGAGTTTGCATGCTGCAACTGAGATCTGGTGCAGCCAAAATAAATAAATAAAAATAAACACTTAAAAAAAAAAAAAGAAAAAAACAGGCCTGGACTGAGAGTCTCCCATTTTGATGATACTTTGATCCTTTAGAGAGCTTTTACCAAAATGTCTATACTCAAAAATGAAAGGAAAAAAATGTCTGTGTCCTTAACAAGGGGCTTTAAAATGTCCACCCCTCACATCTAGGGTTCATGCCTCAGAAAATAATTCAAAGCTATACATAAAAGTTTACACACAGGTTGGTTTTTGCCATACATTGACATGAATCAGGCACAGATTTACATGTATTCCCCATCCTGAACCCCCTCCAACCTCCCCCCCATCCCATCCCTTAGCCTCTAATTAAAAAAAAAAGTTTACACACAGGTTGGTTGATCCAGAAATATGCACAAAGATTTATTTACATATAAGACTGTTTTTAAGAACGTTAAATAAAATAACAAATGTGGATGTATCCTAAATGCTCCACAATATGGAGAATGGTTAAATATTTTAAGCTTCTATGAATTATTCTATCCATATGATGGGCAATCATTCAGCCATTTTATAAATTTTGAGAAGCAGGGTAACACATGCGTGCCAAGGGGGGAAAAGGGGTTTTTGACAGAAGGCAAGGGTTTAAAAAGAAAAGAGAATATCCTATGTGTCTTTCTGCACCCTCTTCTAACCCTACTTCCCAGAGGGTTAAAAAGTTAAATAGATACTGGTTTTAGTTTCTATAGTTTCGGGAGCCAGATGGTTAGTTAACTTAAATATGCTAAAAATTACGCATGCATCGTTATTTCTCAATTTATCAGCATTACACATTGTTTATGAATTCCTGCTATAACAGATGTGGATTTAGGTCATGAATTTTTGCCCTAAAAATCTGAAGGATTTGTTACCTCCTAGAGGCTTTAGATCCCTCCTTACTCTTCCTCCCACTTTTAATAGTTACATTCAGTTAGCTACCTTTGTCTAACTTTGAAAAATTGAAATTCAATTTTTATGGCATTAAATTTAGAGAATATTTCTTGTCTTCTTACTAAGAAATGTGGTGAAATTAAGGCCCAATATTTTCCTCCTCCATCTCTCCTTTCATTACTTCTGTACTCTAGAATTTATGTTTATTTTATACATACCTATATGCATGTATATTCTGCAATTACAATTAAGTCTTTGTGGTGGTTTATAAGTTAATTCTAAAAATTAAAAAAAAAAGTAAAGACTATCACTATTATGATTAGACATATGTATTCACTGCATATGAATGGATATGCATATTCGCTCAAATTAACTAAATGCAATCCTGCATAACTAAATATACACCCCTGCGTGCATGTGTGTTCTAAGTCATTTCAGTGAGGTCCGACTCTTTTTGACCCTGTGGACTGTAGCCTGCCAGGCTCCTCTGTCCATGGGATTCTCCAGGCAAGAATGCTGGAGTGGCTTGCCATGCCCTCCTCCAGGGCATCTTCCTGACTCAGGGATCGAAAGCAGGTCTCCTGCACTGCAGGCAGAATCTTTTCTTTCTGAGCCACCAGGGAAGCCCAATATATACCCCTAAAAGTGACATTGTTTTAACGCAGTGCCCTTTCTTACCCTATCAATTTTCCAAATCAAGCCATAGTTTCAGATTACTCCAATTTGGACCAATACGTCCTTGTGTAACTTTTTGTTTTCCCTGGGCTTTCTCATGGCTTTTCTTTTTTCTTCCTGGTGAAACATCCATGTTCTTAACGATATTAGTTGTTGCGGGGAGTCATCATTTTTTGTTCCTTAAAGTCATCACTCCAAGCGCTCTCTGACACCCAGATCTGGCTGATCTCTAGGCTTGCAGCACTGCTGTCATTGGAGGTCTGTCTTTACTGCTATCTATACGCATGCGTGCTCAGTCACTAAGTAATATCCCACTCTTTGTGACCCCACAGACTGTAGCCCACTAGACTCCTCTGTTCATGGGATTTCCCAAGCAAGAATACTGGCGTGGGTAGCCATTCCCTTCTTCAGGGGATCTTCCCAACCCAGGGATCAAACCCATATTTCTTGCCTTGGTAGGCAGGTTCTTCACCACTGAGCCACCTGATTAAAGAAAAACTATGTTTTGGATTCCATTCCTTTTTTTTTCTTGCATTTTTTTTTCACTTTGATAGAGTACGTTCCATATTTGTGTTCTCTCAAGTAAATTTGTGTAGAACATGTTTTTATTTCTCACGTTTTAAAATATTGTTACTCTGCATTCATATAATTGTTATCTTGACTGAGTCCAAGGTCCAAAATCTTTTTCCCTCAGAATACTAACGATGCCACGCCACTGTCTTTAGTGTGCCTGATGACCTCTTAGAAGGATCTTGCTTTCTAGGAGCTTTAAGTTCTGAATGCTCAGCCACTTACAAGAAGATTTTGAATTATTTTTTAAGTGCAGCAAAACACACATTACATAACATTTACCATTTTAGTCATTTTTTAAGTGTACATTTCTGTTAAGTACAACCACACATCACCACCATCTCCAGAACTTTTTTGTTTTGCAAAACGGAAACATTTCCTCTGCCCAGTCCTGCTCCTCCCCTCCTCCCTTCTACAGGTGATCTGATTATGATGGGGGAAGCCCACGATCACCTCCTAGGTTCAATGACTCATGAAGACTCAAAGGACTCAGTATATAGTCATCCTCACACTATGCAATCACTATGATTACAGTGAAAGGATACAAAGAAAAATCAGCAATAGGAAAAGGCACGTGGGGAGAAGTCTGGTGAAAACCAGGAGCAAGTTTTCAGCATCTTCTCCCAGCAGAGTCACACAGGACAGACTTAATTCCTTCAGCAATCAGTGTGATGACCCATGTGGAATGCTGTCCACTAGGGAAACTCATTCAAGA